TTTTTTTGCCAACACCTAGGATGTGAAATATACATGTAAACATATTGTGTCGATAAGTAGTCATTCTCATCTACAAAGATTCAGAAAATTCCATAAGAAATAAAATGTTACAACAAAGTAAATGTACCCATCTAGTTTTATTCCTTCTCTCCGAATATTTTTGGAAAAGTCTCTCTTGAGAATGATGTTTCCCCATGAAGGAGTTGAAATATTGAATGCATCAAAATGAGTTATATGTAAAAGTAGTTGGTATAGTACCTGGTACATGTGTAAGTATTTATTACGTTTTAAAGAAATTTTAGGGGCACCTGGGTGGCTCAGTCGGTTAAGCACCCAACTCCTGATTTTGGCTCAGGTCATGATCTCAGGGTCATGAAATCGAGCCCCACGGCGGGCTCTACACTAGGCAGGGAGTCTGCTTAAAATTCTCTCTCTCTGTTCCTCCCTCCACTCGTGCTTGCTCTCTCGCCTCTCTCAAATAAATAAATAAATAAATCTTTAAAAAAAACCTTTAATACCCATTAGTCTCTTTCCCAGGCCTTATTGGGGATTACTGATCAACTTTTTTTTTTTCTTTCTTTTTTCCATTGGAATTGTTTTTAATATTTAAATACAAAAAAGTGAGCGCTTACTTTTTTCCTTTTTTAGACAGACACACAGGTCTCTCATAGCCAAAAATGCGCAGAGGAAATGAGCTCCTGCTCTGGCCTTCGCAGTCCCCATCTATGGATGAAACTGCTGCCCGGCCCTCCCTCCTTTCCAACATAGCAACTCACAGCGTCTGCTTAACACTACGGCTGTAATGCAGTACGGATTTCATATTGTGTGCAACATCTCCATGCTTAAAAACAAAAAGGGTCAGTGGTGCATCCTTCCCAGTGGCATCGGTTCCTGTGCCACAATGGGATTGTGAGATCCGCTGGTCATGAGCGATTTAGGGAAAGGGGTGGGATGGCCAGGGCTGGCCTAACCGTCCGCATTGCGCCACTCTGGTATCAGAGCAAGGACAGAAGAAATGGGACAGCGCGGAGGGCACAGTTGGAGGTTGGGAGTCTCTGTGAGACACTGGGGAGAATTCTCCGCCAAAATTAAAAAAAAAAAAAGAATCCCAATAATCAGCAGTTCAAACACTATTGAATTTTCAAACTCGTCCCACCAAAGCAGTCATTGGCAGTGGCGATCTAGATCTTTCCAGGAAGCGAAGGTAGCGCGCTTCCTGAGCATTCCTCCTGAGCGCCCTGGGTGCGGCCCTGGAAGCTTCTGCCGCTGCGGCTCCAGGGGCAGCTTCTCGGTCTCGAAGAGAACAGGAAGAACCAGGGTCATGAAGGAAGTGGTCCCAATCCGTACAGGGCTGCCCGGGACAACCTGTACATTTTTGGAGGCGCAAAGCGGGAGAGATCAAAAGTGGCTCCAGCCGCGGAGCGGACCCTCTGTGGGAACATCTCCGGCAGCGCCCACAGTCTCTCCCGGCAGGTCTCCTCTCGCTCCTCGTCTCCTCTTCCTCCTCCAGCTCCTCCGAATCGCTTTTCGGAAGCAACTGGTCCGGGGACAGGGGCGTCCCAGCGCCGCCCCGGAGGAGGTAGACATCGCTGATTAACTTTCTATCAACGAGCCAGTCAGTAAGAGGGAAATAAGGTGCCCATTTTTAAGAACAAAGATAACACTCTCAGGCAGATCAGTTGCAGTGACCCCTGCTAACACCGTTCTTTATCATCCAGACAGAAGTAAGGCGTACACAGGCTCATACACTTCAGGGTTTAGCCTCTAGTTCGTAAGTCAGGTTGCTTTTTCCATTGTTTTCTTAAAGTTCACTGCCCGTTATCCTACCATTTCCAACAGAAAGTGTGAAATGCAAGGGGGAAATGAAAGCTGGTAAACACGGTTTATGTCAGTTTGGTTCTTAAATGTAAGTGAGGAAGTGGAGCAGCTAGATAAAATTAGGTTTCAGGTGTTTTCACGTCTGCTATTCCTGTCTCGCATTACCACGAATGATCAGTAAGACGCTTGTATAACTCGGTACGGTTTCTGGTTTCAAGAATTTCTGAGGTATTTAGATGAGTACATTTTATCTGAAAATCAATAATAATTGCTTCTCTTAGAAAGTGCTTCTGCAGGTAGGTAAGGAGAAATATTAGCTGATCATTAGAACTCTGACAGACAGCGATTTCTCTTTGCAACAAAAATGCAAGGAACATCCTCCCCAGACAGGCCTGGAAGCAACTTTTAGGTTCCATCACACCTTTTTACATTGCTATTTTAGTAATTACAGTAGTATCTTTAATTATTTGCCAGTCAGGCATCCCCCTTACTGAAGACTCCTGGAAGGAAGAATTGCCTTTCGTTTTTGTAGCCCCAGGTTCCTGGTGCAGGTAGATCCTATTCATTCCAATTTCAGTACACGTGCCAAAGTGAGAACAGGGAGGCGCTATTCATAAGTATAAATAAGTAAATAAAAGATCACTGAGATTTATTTGAGTTAACCAGCTCTCTCTTAAACACTGCCAAGTCCAAGAAAAGGTTGGTGAAGTCTCTTGTTTGGGGGCAACCCAGGTTCCCTTAATTGCAAGCAGCTCTGAATCAAAATATATCCGTTCCCTTTCCTATCTCCATTATCTATGTGCAACAGAAGTCTATCACATCATTATATTAACTATTGGATCTCAGGATAAGCTGCCTTTCAAATACACTGAAAGTATTAAAATAGTTGCTCTTGCCAGAGCATATGCTCAGTACAAACTCCTTAAAAGTCCAAAACACCACTGAAGAAGTTCCTCTTCTTCAGTGAAGTTAGACTAGATAGCTTATATGTGTAATTATGATAACTGAATATTCTGAGTAATGATTATTCAGAGACTCAGATACATTCTTGATGAAAAAGGATCAAACACAGTTCTCTATTTTTAACTTAGGCCTTCAGAGGGTTTATTATTTTGAAATCAAATCTATTAAACTTCGTGAATACATTATTCCTCATTAAGATTCCTTCTGAATTCATGTGATGTCTAACAACATGGTATCAGTGAGTAATTTATAAGTAAAAATCATTTTATAATATTTATCTTAGAAATAAAAGTGAATAGAATATAAGAAAAAATGAAAAACCACGAGTAACTGATAAGGAGAGTAAGATATACAGGAAAGTCTCAAGGTTAATTTTAGCACTTCTTGAACACTCTTAGCTCATCATCTAAATAATTTACCAGGTATTTTATTTTATGAAATGCTCTAGTTGACAAGTCAACACATTTCATGAGGCAAATATTATTGTGATTTAAAAAATTACTGAAAAAAGTGAAACAATTATGTGCCCTTAGTTGAATCTATATTAGACTATACAAAGTGAGGCTATATGAACTTGTTCCTGGTGATCCATAAGCCATTATAAAATATAAAGCATTATTATTGCACTATTGCATGTGTAAAATATTTTGCCCAATAATCAACCTTTCATTAATGGTGGCTCTGTGCAAAATTCCTTCTACCGCAAAATGACATCAGGATTAAGATGATGGTTTTCAAACATCTTTGTTTGTTGGCCCCAAGGAGGGTTTCTTTGAAACAAAATTCCCAAATAAATTCATCCCCCCCAAAGAGTCCAAGGAAATATCTATGCTGTTCTTGGACCAGGAAAAGACAAATGGCTATTTTCAGTTTGGGGAGGCAATATAGGGAGTATTGAGGGCTGATGTAATCAGTTATGAAAGTAAGAAAATGGAAATCATTGATGGTTGATTACTGTCAAGGCATCTGCTCAAAAAAGAAAAACTTTTAACATGCTCTGGCAATTACTAGTTCTCATAAAACGCTAACCAATAGTTAGCAGTTTATGAAATCTTTTTTAGGCTGATTACCTGGTTTTCATTAGACGAACCTAATTTTTTGGAGGTGCAAGGTCCATCGTTATGGCCTACCTTAGATAACTATTAAATGAGCTTACTCTCCACCACAAAAAGCTTAAAAATCGAAATATGTTATCTCCATTTCAATTCTTACTATTCTCTTTATATTTTTCACTATGTGGAATCAAGAATTAAAAAATATATGGTTTTTAACCTAAGCAACATAATGCTAGAAAACCAAGAAAAATGTGAAAAATTCAGTCATTCACAAAATTGCACATAGTGTTTATTCAGCAAAATATTTTTATCTGGCCACTTAGCGTCATGTATATGCAACAATAATCATTGCAGCAAGTCATCAAATATAAGCTTTTTGCTGATTTTAAGCAAATTCATATAACTTTAATGACAGAATACAGCATTTTCTTTTTACCCTTTCTTCTTATTAAATGCTGGGGAGCACATTTATCATCTGAACAGTCACATTAATATATTTTCAAATCTTTTACTGACATGTAAAAACAGTTTAAATTTACATTTATTTATTTTCTTATCCTAGGTTTCAACAATCATATCACAAGTCCCTGAATTATCCACAGAGTTCATTTTGTTCCATTTTACTCTAGTTACAAATCTACATACACACACACACACCTGCTGGAATTTGCACCCATCTTATTTTAATTATATTTTGAACACTCTTATTTTTCAAAAGGCAACAGTGAGTTATCTGTGTGAAATGGCTAGGATGGAGGGAAATCAAGCATTTTTAACATAATAAATATTACTTGCTTTATAAAATGCTTCCAGAATCTAAAAGCATACTTAAAACTGTTTTTGAAGGAAACTACTTCAGAGAGCAAAATCATGTGATAAGATTAATGCAAACTTCGATGTTTAAAATCTAGACTACAGATTTTAAATATGTCTCTTCATTTTTCATCTCACGATTGTGTGCCACAATAATGAAGTACTGGGAATAAGGTTACTGTGCTCTGTAAAAGTCAATTAAAATTACAATCTTATTTTCTTAACTTTTTAGACACAGATCTCTTTCAGCCCATGCAGCGTGTATCCAAAAAGACCTTTCCTGTAACTGTTAGCTATCATGATTTTTAAAAATTAGAAAAAAGAAAAGATAAATGATAATGATATACTCACCTTTTGGTGTCTTAAAATATTCAGGCAAAAGTAAAATGAATGTGATCAGTATTGCCAACAGTAATTTAAAGAGGGCTGTTTTTGTCATGTCTCTTCACATGACACAGTATGTTCCCGACCAGGACATCGGTGGCATGTTTCTTCCTGCTTCGGTCTTCATCTCTGCAGTACTTTAAGTTTGTGCAATTTACTTCATACTCACTTCCTTTTGGGTAAGACTTAAAAAAAAAAAAAAAGAGGCCTTGAACAGAGACGTCTTCATTTCGATTCACTTTACATTATGAAAACTACCGCCTAAGAAGTAAGACACTTCCAAACTATCTTCTAAACAAGAAAGTTTAAAAAAAAAATGATCTCAAGAAGCAAAGGGGTCTTGTCCTCATCTCAATTTGAAGCTATTTTCCCACGTTTACCTATCTGTAGGAGTAAATATAAACCCACAGTATATACACCAAAAACAACAAGATGAAGGTCAGTGGTGTCCAGTTACTCATTTACTTATTAAATGATTGTTGGCCCCTTTTAAATGCCAGGCTGAACTGGATTCTGGTGTTCAGAAAAGAGTGTGTCTATAAGACAGTAAACGGTACAAATGTAAGGATAAACCAAAATTTCAATTCTACTTTACTACCTTGTATAAAGCAGTGGAATGGGACTCATTATCCTTATGCCTATAAACAGTGTGATAACTGTTACCGAATCCACACTGTCCGTTCCCATTTCAAAAAAAAGATCTTTCATTATGATAATTCCAGTGAAGTAAAAGACTTTGTCTTAGAATATAAATGAAGAGTAGGGGAAGTTCATGGTGAAGAAAGAATATGTGCAAACAAATACTTTTATTCCATTGTTCTTGTTTTCTGGTTTAAAAAAAAAAAATGGTAGGGAATGTGTCCAATCATTTTCTGCCTGCTCATTCCCTATGGTACCTCCATCACCGCATCTGTTTCCATTCATCCCACCCAACCCTGGGCTGTATGGAACAAGGGGTGAGTGGGGAGTAGGAGGCAGGGAACAAAGGTCGTGCTGTGAATATGTTGTGAGTGCAAATTAACTGTCTCGTCTTCTGATTAGGTGGGGGGATTTGATGGACAGATGGAAATTGTGGGTTAAGAGACCTTAGAAACTGAATCTGAGAAGAGTCATAATGGGACTAGAACTTCGAACATTAGACTTATTTTATGAACAACATCAAGGATCATTCTAAGGAAGAGAGGAATTGATGAGAGTCACTGCCTGCACAGCGTATTTGACTGAGACATGTTAGGTTATATGTTCAGCAGCGTCTTCAGTAAAGATTCTGGTGGAAAGGGGTAAGAGACCCTGTCCTTTAATTCTTTCCCCTCTTACAGGTGTCACTAAGTGACAGTGGACTTTCTACTCCCCATGTGACCCTGTTTTGACTCCCTAATTTTTATGTATGAATACAAATATTCCAACCATAATTTTACTAATGGGGAATAAATTGATAAAGAAAATATTAACTTGATGTTACACCATTCAGGTAGTTTAATTCCTTGATCAGTTTTCTTTAAAAGGGCAGCTAAACCACTTCTTTATTTTTCCATTTTAATTTGATTTTACTGAAATTAGTTTTGTTAGTATCTATGCTTTTTTTTTTTTTTTAACAATTCTTTGGTTGATGGATTAACTCTCTCGTCCATATCAAATTTTATTGATTTGTGAGTATTCTTTGTGGTAGTATTCTTGGAGATCTCCTTCTTCCTTCCCCACCCCTCTCCCTAATATGGCCTCAGACTGGTTGTTTTATTCTTGAGCACCTGGAAGACCAACTTCCCTAGTAAACTCTATGGGCTGTTTGTCCATAATGTGCTGACCCATGTTCTCTGCAGCCGGCTTCTCTGGAGCTGTACAAATGGTGGATGTCAAGAGACCAACCAGGGTTCTTAAATCCCAGGCCACTGCCTCACTGCTCTGAGGATATGGGGGAGTCGGTATCTCACACCTGGTCTATAATCCACTTGCTGGACACCAGTGTGTCATCTCTGATTTAGCAAATTATGAGAAATATTATATGCCCTGAGATATCTCAGGAATATCCCCCCCTTACCTCAGTGTTCTCCTTCCTTTCATTCTTCTTTTAATTGTACCATCACCTTTCAATCAACCAAACATGAAAACTCTGCAGAATAACTTATTTCTAAAGACTTCATTAGATTTTTAATGGTCCTTAGGTAATTCATTTAATGGTACTCCAATTACGTCATTTAAAAATATTTGTTTATGTAGCACTACAATGTGAATATTCATATATATAAATCTTTGTGTGAGTCTGATTATTGAGTGGAATTACTAAGACAAACAGTGTAAAGATTTTTGAAGTTCTTAATCCATATAGACAACTATCTCCCAAAAAAGTGAGTCAATATATACTCAACCAAGAGTGTATTCTCGAGAGTGCCCATGTTACCAAACTTTACCATTGGTCATTTTATTCTCTTAACTTTTGTCAATTTGAAAAGGAAGGAAAAACACTTGTATTAATATTCATTTCTTTGAGTGCTAGTAAGTCTGAGCATTTTACATATTTGCTGGCAATTTGAATTTCTTATGAATTGCCTGTTCATGTCTCTTACTGGAGCATTTGTATCCTTGTTGTTGCTTTATAGGCCTTTTTCTCTACTGGGAATATGTATCCCTTGCCATATATGTTGCAAACATTTTCCTCAAGTTGTCATGTTCCATTTCTTTTTGTATAGGGTGGGTTTTTTCTCCCCTCTTTGAGATAGAATATAAAATATGGTAGATTATGGACTTAAAATTTTATGCTAAGAAACACAATTCTTCCTCATTGTATTTATAATATTAAACCTAATAATTTATAGCTTATCAAGTAGTTTACTCTTAAATACAAAATTTACTTGCAGCCTGATTTTGGCTGCCTGGAATGCATAATAACAAACTAAGAAGTCTGGTCATTTTTTTTTAACAATGGAAACATCCGACCCTCTTAATAATAATGGTAATGAACCACAGTTCCGTAGTTTCATTTTATAATTTCCAAAGCACCTTCACAGATATTAGATTATAAAGGGAGAATCTAAGAACATGAGTACAAATCTGCTATTATCCATCCATTGTGGGCTTCTCTCTCCTACCTCAATGAAGGAGTAAGAAATTAATACATCTAAAACACAAGAGAGTGTTGCTACATTAGTGTTTAACTTTCCTAAGTCTTATACTTCATATCATAGACTCAGGTTCTCCAAGTACGCTAAAGTATTCATGCTTCTAATCAAGACTGAAGCCCTAATTAATAATTATTCATTGTGTGCTAGATACAATTTTTTAAAGATTTATTTATTTGATAGAGAGAGAGAGAGAGAGAGAGGGCGCCTGTGTGGCTCAGTCGTTAAGCGTCTGCCTTCTGCTCAGGTCATGATCCCAGGGTCCTGGGATCAAGCCCCACATGGGGCTCCCTACTCGGCGGGAAGCCTGCTTCTCCCTCTCCCACTCCCCCTGCTTGTGTTCCCTCTCTCGCTGTGTCTCTCTCTGTCAAATAAATAAAATCTAAAAAAAAAAAGGGGGAGAGAGAGAGAGAGCAGGGGAGGGAGGAACTCAATCTCACGATCCTGAGATCACAACCTGAGCTGAAACCAAGACTCAGACACTTAACTAACTGCGCCACCCGGACGCCCCTAGACACAAATTTTTAAAATACAGAATTCTTTATTTCCAGGAGCTGCTCTACCCAAGGAAGCAAGAGCAACATACTTTTAAAAAATAATAACAGCCTTAAGATGGATAGTTTGAATTAAGTTCTATGTAGTCGTCTATTATTATGTGAAATATACACTTGTATATACTTTATGTGAGCAATACATTCTCCATTTCTTTTCTCATTGAAACTATCCTTAATCCCTTCATTATATTGTATAGAGAGATCTTTTGGGGTCAACAAAAACAATAGCAATGACCAATGATGTTTATTGGACATTTATTGTGGGCTCATGCACAGTATTGAATGTTTTATATGGATTCTTTTATTCAATCCCCCATCAAATCTCCGAGGGAGTTACCACTGTGTTATTCTGATTTTACAAGCAAAGACTATTAGGTATTGAAAAGTCAGGAAAGGGCTCAAAATCACATTGTTAACACAAAGTAAAAGTTCTGGCTTCAAACCCAGAGAGTCTCACTGCAGACTTAATGCTTTCAACCACTGTGCTATCCCCCCACCCTCAGAGTGTGTGAGAACATTTGTCAAGAAGGGGCACTTATAAAACAGTAAGGATAATAACAAACACAAATATAGCCCCTACTCTGTCAGACACGGCTCTAACCCAGGATTTCTCACGGGGAGCACTACTGACATTTGGGGCTGGATAATTCTGTTTGTAGGGGGCCATCCTGTTCTTTGTAGGATGTTTCGCAGCAGATGCCAGTAGAGACTCCCTAGCCCAGTTTTGACAACAACAAAATATCACCAACATTACCAGCTGTTTCTGCAGGGGGCAAAATAGCTTCCACTTGAGAACCATCGAGCCTCACACTTCACTTACATGAAGTCATTTCATCCTCCCGACCACTCTGTGAAATCGTTACTGTCATGATTTCCATTGTACTCACTTCAGACAAGTTGTATTCCAGGTAATCTAATCATCCAGAAAGTGAATTTAAAAAACAATTCATGATCTGGGTCAGCCAAATGACTTCTAATTGTGTTGCTTGCAGACAAACTACTCTGGCAACACGGCAATGCCTGGATTAACACATTTTGTGAGAGGAGATAATCTCTTAGTAACGAAGTTGGCCTGAGTTTGGAGAGGGATTTGGGAAGTTCCAACGTCCTCATTCATTTTCCGGTTCATTCTACAAATATTTACTGAACGCCTACACAACGTCAGGCAGCCTTCCGAGCCCTGGAGATGAAGTAGCAAATGAAGCAAAGTCTTCACACCCACATTCCAGTGACAATAATCAAATAATGACAACAGTTTATCTTCAGATAACGTTAACTGTTCTGAAAAAAAAATAAGGCAAAATATGATATGCGAACAGAGAGTTGGGCAGGACACATGATGCTCTCAATAAGAATGTTAAAGAAGGTCTTGTACGATCCATTTATATGACACTAGGGAAAATGCAAAACTACAGGGACAGAAAATACATCAGTGGTTGCCACAAGAGGCTGGAGGTAGAGGGAGGGTTGACTACAAAGGTGCCTGAGGG